GAACGCCCACGTTTAGCGAATGACACTTTTGCGAATAGTCGGCCGCCGCGAAGCGGCGTTGACGGGTGGGCCAAATGGGTCCACATTTTTGTTATGAGCCGCCGCAGACTATCGCTGCGAAGCGGCATAAGCGCAGCGCGGGGGGTGGGAGGTGTTGGAAGAGGAGGAGGATTAAGGGAGGGGTTAACACGCGCATCCGCTATTCGCTAAAACGTCGATTCGCTCAAATGTCGTTGTTCGCTAAAACGTCGATCGCTCGTGAGGTATGGACCCAATCTGTGTAACCCCAAACTCATAGACGCTTTTTCCACTTGCGATGGTCATCGCGGCAAATCTTTTTAAATTAAAGCGCACCATTGGTTGGAGCGGTTTTCTGTTAAACACACGAGCTCTGTTCCCCGAGGAAGAAATGAAATGACACGTCCGTTCATCACGAATTTCTAATAAGTAGAGATTTCTTTATTACAGCCTATTCAGGAACGTGGGGAATGAATGACCGAGTAAGCTATAGACTTTTCCATAAAACAAAAACAAAAAGGCTCTTGACTGACTCCATTTTCAGTGTTTGTGCGTGTGGGGCGTGATTTGCTCGCTTTCCGAAGCGACGAACACGCAAGTGCTCGGCTGTGAAGATCGCACACTGGGTGGAGGACTTGTAAACATCGAAATGGTGTATACTTCGTTTCTCCTTATGTGCGAGCGAAGGCAAAGCTAGAAGGGCGAGCTCAAAAGCCCCGCGCGTTCTTGCTTTGCACGGTCACGCGACTGGGGCAGAAAAGGAAAACGGGGTTCGGTCAACCGAGTGCTCAACTACTGGGAACCAATCCGGGGAAGAACCACAAGACGAAGCGATTTGACCGCAGAGAAAACACTATAGTGAAAACAAAACAAATGAAAGAACTATACAGAGAAAACACGGAGGTCTGCGTTGAGACAGACGAAAGACATAGTAATGAGGACAAGATATTGGCGCTAACCCTAACGGTAGCGTTCGTTTTAGTTGAAATCGAAAAGAGAACTAAGCACTATCAGTTCTAGCTAGAGTTCACCGGTTGGTTGAGGCGTTGAGGCTTCCGGTGGCGCCCAGGTTTAGGTACGACTCGACGCCGATGTTCAGCAGTGTGCCTGGAAGCCTGTTGAGCTTGCTTGCGTAACCAAATGCTACACGGGCAACAGAGTTTGAGGTTTAACGAGCGGCTCCACAATATTACATCTTGGAGGAGGCAAGTTGGTTTACAATACTCGAAACATTTGAGCAGATCTCGACCTTTTTCGTTCTTTTACCGTTCACCTGGAGAATCCGTGGTCAAACGTTTCATCTACCTGTCAAGCAGCGGTGTTAAGGTGGCCTTCGTTCATTCTTCTTTTTCTTTCTTTTTTAAGGGAGGTTCTCTGGGACGTCCAAAAGTGGAGCACCACCTGGTGGCGTTTGCCATAAAAAGGGTCTACAGTGCAGTGGGAAATGGTTGCAGATGATCTTCGCTGCCCAACCACCTTCACATGGTGGATTTGAGCCTCAACTGTTCTTCCGAAGTTGGTCTCTTTTTTTTTTAAGGAAAAGAACAACAGCTGGTAGGCCGCCGTCGTCATTGTGGCATGCTCTTTTTTTTCTTTTCGGCGATGTTATTTTCCGCGTGTCACGCGAGCACTCGCAGCACCGGTCCCGGCTGTGTGTCCACTCTCACCCTGTCCACACAACACTAGGATCGCGCACATCACACATGGCCGCCGCCATGTCTCTGCTCCTGCGGGCATTGTTTCTAATTACGAGCAAATCACTATGCACTTGTTTCCTTCAAACACGAAGAAGCCACCCGAAAATTCACAAAACTTCGAAATATTTCCCTTGCGGGGACGATGGATCACTGACAAAACATTTTGGTTTGCTCTTACCGAGTGCACTTCGTACTCGTAGGTCGATAGAGAAATTTCCGTCAAAAGTTCCTATCTCATATCATTTTGTATTAACACTTGGATAGCCGATTTACACAGTGAGTGCGGTATACTCAGAAAGATTGAGACCGTCATTGTAATCTTTATACCAGGTTTCAGATAACGTGATAACGTCAAAAGGGACGTCAAGTACATGGAAAAGAATTTCTAATGCTGCAGATTTGTTTTTGGTAGACTTTGTATTTAAAATGAAAACATTCAGTTGAGGGGGCATTTTTTGTGCCCAAGTAATCTTTTAGCTCCCGTGGTAGCATAATGTTTGCATGAACCATCTCGCAGGAACTGTCTAAAATTATGCGTTAGGCAAGATGCGTTCAACCGATTTCTGGAAGGTCTTCGACGTTATTTACAACGATTGCTCAATCCCCGTCTTTTGCGCGAACAATAAGTTTTCTATTTTTGTGCCATGTGGATTCAAATCTTTTCGCAGTCGCCCACTCTTTTGCAGCACGTAGAACCCTATACTCTGCCGGGCCATGTTCTCTTGTATGTAAATCTCGTCATGAATTTTTTTTAGCTTTTTTTTTTTTCTTGTGCCACTGATCACGCATTAAAACTTGGGTTTGGGCTTGTTGGTTCATTACTGAATAAAAGGTTAAAAAGCGCGAACAAACGGGGACAATGAAGAAACGCGGACGACAGGACAGGCGCTTCACTCTCAATTTGAGAATGAAGCACCTGTCCTGTCGTCCGTGCTTCTTTATTAATTGTCCCCGTTTGTTCGCGCTTTTTAACCTTTTATTCACTGATCACGGGTTCGCTGTTTTGTAAATGGCTGGAACCTTCCCCGGTTTTACAGGAAGCCGGTGTGCTTCCTGTAAAACCGGGGAAGGTTCTACCTCTAATTCTGCGAGTTCTGGTGCACCTATCTTAGATCCAACTTTGTTTACCCTCTTGAGCAAGTTTTCGTTATTGGTTTACGGAATGCCGCGAGGTTTAGGCGGCTGCTCCTCCACTCAAGTCTGTTCAGTTCTTCTTTCAGCTGTGGAACCTCATCTTCGCATTTGCTCTGCTCAAGATTTGTCACACGTGTTTTCAAGTCTTTGGTATCTGAGCTTTGGGTCGCTAGTTGGGTCATGATCTCATCATATTGGTGAGCCACTAAATGAGCTGCGCTTAGAGTATTGGCATTCTGCTTCCCGACATTGTTGCGGGCGCCGCCATTTTGGTGCTTGAGCAGAGCAGACACAATTGCCGATCGTCATAATTCAAAAGTGCGGCGTTAGATTCGGTGTTAGGAAGCTCATGTAATATGGGTTTGCTCTGTCGCGAACTGTTTAAACATTTGTGGAGGACCAAAAATCGTTTCTAGTGATTTCAGATAAAGCTTAAGATAACTGGCAACCATGATGTTAAGCCACAATATGGGCAAGTGCCGTTATTCCGAAGCGTAGTTTATTTAGTTACACTAGGTCCGACATAATCTGCACGGAGAGCTCTATGCCGTCGACTGTTCCTTTTAGGCTCGTCAAAATTTCAAGTTTCTGGCAGATGGTAACAAACTTACCGGCAATATCCGCCTCCGATATTTTGGCCCCTTGAGCGACTGGCTCCTTTGTTCGCCTTTTTGACAACTAGGACATTTCCACATCTCCCGAGCACTTTCGCCTCTCTTTTCGAATGTAGCTTCAGACAATCCGCTACATGTTCCGAAACGATAACTATAGGAACATTCCGAGCACGTGGCGACTGTTCCATCATCAGGAAGGGGTTTGCCACGTGGCAAACATTGGTGATTTTAGTTTTTCATGCTCTACACACTCCATGGCTGTATGACAGCAGCAGGGGTGAGAACAAAGAAACGACAAAAAAATGGTCGGAAACCATCCTGAAAGTACGGCACGCAGTGTTTAGGCTGCTTGTCCAGGGCCACCGCTGCTGCCTGTGCCGGGGCCGGTGGTAGACAGCTGATAATGTAGCGTCGTAATCCTCGCGGACGATTGAACCGTTGCTGGATGATGACTTTGCAGAAGGTTCCGTCCTCCGCATAAGCCTGGATGACCGTGACCAGGCGCAATCTCCTCGGTGATCATTGCCGGTGGTGCTGCTCTGATATGTGTCTTGCACGGTGTTCGTTGCAGGGCCTGTCTCCCGTATGGTCAAGAGTCCGGCACGTGTATTTCTGAAAGTACAGGGACGTAGTTTTTAGGTTGCGTGTTCAGTGCCGTCGCTGCCGCCTGTTCCAATAAGAAAAACAAGGAAATGAACTGTCGTGCTAAAACGAGATTAAAAAGAAAATGATTTGTGATGGGGAATCTAAGAATAATTTTGTGCGACGAAAGACCCAGAAATATGGCGGCGTAAATCTCGCTTGATGCGATAAAATGGTCTGCTGCCGCGCACCCACGACTATTAGGAGGACCGAGTTACAGCGCCACCTAGTGAGAGGTGCACGGACTACAGCGGGAGCAGGCTGTCCCATAGGGAGCAGGCTGTCCCATAGGGAGGGCTCAGGTGATAAGTGTAGAGAAGGGACATTTGTGAATTCCGGACAGAATTCACTCTCATTTATATATATCGCACAGTGATTTCCCTTCACACCCCCTAAAAAAAGGGGGGGGGGGGGCTGTATACCTCCATTGATAAGGATAGATAACTGGGCGAGTTGGTGAGAGTTCATGCTGAAAAACAGCGCGACTGGGACGAGGACACAAAGAGATGAAGAGGACACAGCGCTCTGTCTTGTGTTCTCTTCGTCTCTTTGTGTCCTCGTCCCAGTCGCGCTGTTTTTGAACATGAACTCCTCCATTGTTTTTCTGAAGGCCCCCCATTAATTTGCAACAACTCCTCTATTATCGATGCCCCCCCCCCCCCCCCCCCTCCTAACCCCACCCCCTAAATATTTAGACACCCCCTAATTTCAATTCCTGGGAAAACCCCTGAGATCGCAATAGACCAGACCATAGTATTCCTGATAGCAGCCTTTCAGGTAGCAAAAAAAAAAAAAAAATGCAAATTGGAAAGCCGGTTACTCCGTGTTCGTGTGTTCAGTCGGGAGGCGTGTTCTCGACCGTGACGTCACAGTGTTTCCGGTTTCTCATTCGCAGAGGCCCGGCGCGAGCGATGACATAGCGGCCACCCCGCCAAGCCGTCGGCGATGACGTCTGTGCCGGCGGTACCGGAGTTCCGGGACGCCGACCAGTGCCGCCAGCACGGCGTCGAGATCCTGCGGCCCAAGCCGAGGCGCCTCGGAGACCTGAGCCGGTCGTCGCAGGCGTCGCCTCACGACCTAAGGATGCCAGCCGAAGGCGCCGCGTCGTCGTCGCCATCCGCCGGCACGTCTCATCTGAAGGCTCTGCACCGGGACATGGTCGGCGGGTCGGCGCCCTCCCTCTCCAAGTTCTCCGGGAGGGAGCTGTCCTTGTGTCCGACGCCCAGCAAGGTGCTGCCCCTTGTTCTTGGCTACGGTCGCTAGCGGGCCATCGAGGTCTTCTTTCAATAGAGGGCTTGCACGCCATTGCATCATGCTGCTAGTTATTGCCAAGAAAAAAGTGGCCAGGAAAATAAGCGCTCAACAACCAGGCCACTACAATGGTCGCTGATGTGAAGTCAGTGCGAGACGTGTATATCCCCTTTAACTCCGGCGCCCTGTAGAAGCCAGACGAGCATGCGACATAAAAACAGACGGCGGCTGTAGGTGGTTTTGGCGGGCGCAGCCAAGGGCTGCTGTCCCGTGCAAATCGCACCGAAGTAAGCCGAAACTTTTACACCAGTGACGACCTGCGTTAAGTTCTTGTTCAGTTGGAGTGTTAAAGAGGGTACGAATGCTTCTCACTTTAGACAGGCTTACGGGCATTTGCGCCAGGGGCCCAAGTCCACAACGCCACTGACCAAGGAGCTTCTTTGTCACCACGTAATTTTGGAGATAAAATCGGACGTTTTCTTTCAATCTCTCCTTTGCAAGTCCTGATGACGAAGCTGCGGGGATTGCATGTTTTACGTTGTCAACAAAGCGATCCGCAGTATTTCGTCGTCGAGATTTGCGACCTTCGCGGTGACGATGTTTAATTTGGTCAACCTACTCGTGTTTCTCGAATTTTTCCTGCACCTCCCATTGCTGGAAAAAGAAAAAGACTAACACGTTTTTATAGGCTATGAATTTCAAGGAATCACTCAAGCGGTATTTACTGAAAGTACAAGGGCTGCTACCCCTTTGATGAAGGACCAGGTCCGCTTTGTATCCCACCTCCTTGCTTCCTTCAGGAATCACAAGTCCATATTGTTTTGTTTCACCAAACTTCTCATGATGTGAACGAGTCTAATGACAATATCGCCTTTGCGCTATGACAAGAACCGAAGAAAAATAACGGTGACTGTCGTTTATTCGGAAGACTTCTGTAACTCGGCTCAGACGATTGCTCCGAACAGCCCGTAGTCACTGAGAGCGTAAAAGGCGCAGCCTATTCTGATCACTATGATTGGACCCTCTTTAATTACCTTATCAGAAATTATTACTTCCCTCCACTATCGAAATCGAGTACGTTTATTAACCGCCTGCAAACGCTCGAACAGAAAGTTGATGTTTAAAAATTTTGAGTTCATCTTTATGGGGATTTTAACCTTCGAGGCACAGAATGGGCAGCCGTTATACTTTCCAGTGGAATCACCCATACAGTAAAATTATCCAGTTTAATTGGTTTTATTAATTTTAATAGGCTCACACAACACAATCACTACAAAAGCAATGCCGGGAATGTCTTCGATTTCCGTCTTTCCAACTCCCATTAGAAAGTATATTTCCAGTGAATGATCCTCTTGTTCGGCGTGACGTATTTCACCGACCTTTTATAGTAACGTTTTGCTTTTCAGGGCGAGCATGTCATCGTCAGAGTTCTACCAACCAGGGTTATCGTAATGGTGATTATTTGGGGTTGTACATGTTTCTACGAAAGTACAACTGGTCGGCGGTTTTTAACGATATTTGTGTTGATTTCGCGACTCAACCTTTCACAGATATAGTAGGAAATGCAATTGATATGTTCATTCCTAAGCGTGTCTCTAAGCCTACTAAGTTTCCGTTTTGGTTTTCAAAAGAATTACTGTATTATATGCATAGGAAAGAACATTTCCATAAACTGTTTTAAATAACTGGGGCCCAACTATAGTACAAAAAAATTCAGTGTCTATCGTGCGCTAGCGAAAAAATTGTTTAAATATGACAAACATGTTTATGAAAGAATTTTGAAAGTAGTCTGTTTCGCGAGCCCGATAAATTATGGCGGTTCGTCAATCAACACAGGAAGGAGTCTTCGAGAATCATTTCTTTACGTAATAGTACGGACTACGCAACTCCTCCTGAAGGAGTAGCGGGTATCCTTCGAAACTATTTTAGTGAGTGTTACTCTATTGATGTATGTGGAAGCACAGCCAATGTTGGTAACATTGGCTGTAACGACTCTTTTACAGTCTCACAAGTTCAACAGAAACGAAATTTTAGAGACAATGAAAATATTAAAGCCTAAGCGTTCTGTCGGTGCCGAACTTATACCTGTTTTCATTGCCAAGGGTTGCGCTGATTTGTTTTCCCCTTTGCTAAAGCATGTATTTAATCTTTCATTAAGTCAGGGAGTTTCTCCCTCTTTGTGGAAAAAGTCGATTGTAGTGCCAGTGCACAAAGCCGGTGACGTGTCAAAGGTAGAGAACTACCGCCCTGTAGCTTCGCCCTGTGATCTTTTTCAAAGGGTTTTGAGAGTGTCGTACATAGCCGTGTTTCGTTTTACTTCAGTCGAAAACCAGGCACCGTTCAACACAGATTTATGAAAGGTCGCTCAGTAGAATCAAATCTCTGTCCTTTCCTAGATTATATAGCACCGAATGTTCTTTCGCGAGGCAAGCTGACATTGTTTACTTTGTTTTATCCAAGGCTTTCAATAAGGTGAATCATAAATTGCTCTTGTATAAACTATCATTATACGGTATAAGAACGCCCCGTTTAACTTGGTTTAATAGTTATCTTACTGATCGTCAAAATAGGTTTCGTGTATTGAGCAGTCTGTCAGGAGTTTTTGTACTTTCTTCCAGTGTCCCCTAAGGATCAAACCTAGGGCCACTTCTTTTTTTCGTATTTTGCAATGATATCAACCTGTGCTTAAAGAATGCGCAGGTGGTTTTATATACGGAAGACATCAAACCTTTTATGAGAATTCAATAAGAAGGTGACTACGCTATTTTACAGGATCACATATTACGCATTTTGAATGGTGTTCTGATCATTGTTTACTGGTTAACCCAGTTAACACTAATATGCTCGCTGTGTGTGGAAAACGCAAAAAACATTTTTCACCCTTACGTACTTGGCAATTGCACTACTCGACGGGTTGAACGAGTACGCGACCTTGGCGTTTATTTTAATAGCAGTCTTTCCCTTTTTGGGTCATGTTAGCCAGAGTGTCGCTTCAGCTTTTCGAGTGATGGGAATGATATCATGGATGACGTGTAACTTTTCCAATTCTTCCTGTGTCGTCCGCTTGTTTTGCTCCTTGGTGCGAGTGAGAGCCGAGTTTTGCAGTGCTGCATGGAATTCGCTGGCTCCAGCTGATGCAGAGCGAATCGAAAGGGTTCAAAAACGATTTGTTCGAATTGTTTATGATCGGTATTTTGAGAGAATATGTTATTGCGACTATGAATACATTCTTAAAGAACTTTCCTCGTGCAACTTATTAAAAAGATAAACTGCTCTTGAGGTTTTATTTTTACACACATTTCTTCACGGTCATATTCGCGACTCCAGCAAAACGGACGCCGCCAAGCGGGAAAACCAGGAACCAGTTGGTCCAGGTCGCTCCGCGCCCCGCCGCGTCTTTGATGGCTTTCGCGGACACCTGCTGTCGGCGCGGGGGGCGAGCAATGTAATTTGACGAAGGTCCGAAAATTTCTTAAGTTTGCCTGAGCGTTCATTAGTGTGGTGAAGCCTCAGTAGATTGTTTCTTTCCATCACGTGTTTGAAAGCCCGTTTACTCCACAACACACGGTCGCGTGCTTTCAATTTTTTGGATGAGGAGGAATCACGGAAAAACGTTTTGATTTCTCGTCTGTCTCTAATCACATTCAAAGTGACGACCGCTTGGTAACTGATAAGTGGTTTCTTTATAAGAGTGTAGAACAGTGGACTGAGGTCGACAGACGAAGTGTTTCACTGGAGGCAACAACAATGTTGCAGTCAGGTGAATAGGAAGGTTCGATAGCTGCTTTCCTTGAGTTTGGTTGTGCTCGATTAAGGCTTCAAGTTAATTTGAGCCACTAACGCCGGCCGGTGCGATGGCTATTCATCTTGACGGCTTTTCGCCGAAAAAGACCACATTGAATGAGTTGAGCTAATTTCGCAATTACTTAATTCAGAAAACCTGCTCGCTGCATATGATTAATGAGGGAAATTATCTGCTTTCAAAAGGTGGGGGACACGTCTCGCAAAGTTAGAAGCTGTCACGTCATTAGGATCTATCGCGCCTCCAATATTTATATTATAACCCCTGTCGAAGCCAGCAGCAATATACGTCTACATTGCTCAGGTTGACCGGCCACAAAAAAATACTCATTTTCTCCGTTCAGGATTCGAAGTCAAGTTCAATGCAGAGAGGTCTGAGTGAATCTCCGATAAAGACTCTCCTCAGTTTGTCCGCATTCGTCTCCGTTCTACCGGCTAGAACCATTTGGCTAAGTTTAAGTAGTATCGCTCTGTCTGTCAAATATCCTTTTATTCAGCAGTTCACCTAATAGTTAGTCAACTAAGTTCACATCTCAACCCGAATAAATACTAATATCGCTTTAGTGGGACCATAGTACGTAATATAATACATAATCCGCATATTCATCAAATGACTTCTCGATTGCTACTAAAACCTGAATTGAAATACGAGTATCAGCTGCTTAATGAAGCGCCAGCGAGTTGACGTGCTCCTTGGCTCAAGAAGCGCTTGCTTAATTTTCGTAATTTTCCTGCAGCCTGTGTTCTTGACCGAGCACACGACTGGAGCGGACAGGCACAAAAGCTCAATTTCGCGGACTGATGAGTCGCATGGTCGAGGCATGCGGGTTAGCTAAAAATTACTCTCGGTGGAACAATTTTGTAGCCCTCGCCGCTTTATTTAAATGATCAAAACTAATTAGAGTCTATTACTGTTTCTCCGGAGCCCATAGTTTCGGTTTTGATCGAAGTCTCCGAAACGAAAGTTTGACATGAAAAGAACAAAAAACACCGGCAAAACAAAAATATGCTCGGCAAGTTTATGCGCACCGGCTACACTTAACTGTCTCAGTTCAAATACCCATAAAACTGGGCATTCAGCAAAATAAAATCTGTTAAATTGAATGCGCCACCCATTCAGGCGGCCCGGCCGAGCCGACGCGACCTGGACTCAGCCGCCATGTTTGTTTGGTGGTGGCGCCCCCTATAGGTCGCTGGAGTCGCGAATAGATAGTGAACTGGTGTCATCGCTGCGATATCATGTGCCGGCTCGTCCTATTAGAGGAACGAGTGTATTTTATCCTTCTGTGCAATCGAAATTGTCACCATTGGTGAGATGCAAATTTGTGGTAATAAATTGTCGCCTCACGTTGATGTTTTTTTGTTTTTTTTTTTAATTTTTTTTTTTGTCTTGAAACGAGAGCTTTATTTATATATTTTCGGCTATTGATCCGAACCGTATTTTGTAACAGTGGCAGGCATCATTGTGGATTTATATTTTATGTGTCACCACATTTCAACCTATTGGTTGCTCTGGGGCACGAATCGAATAAATCATTTATTTATTATTATTATCAATTCCCGTCTCATTGGCTGGGGAGTGATAATGAGACTGGTCCCGCTTTCGTGAGCTTCCACTCGATGTATCCAAAAGGGCCGAGCTCCGGAAGGGCGGACTCCAACATTCTGTCAGTGGCTCAGTGTGAGGCGGCTAAGCGGTCTCCTTGGGAACCCAGGCCGAGACGAGGCAGTGCTCGTCGGCTGCCGCGGCCACGTCGTCCCCGGGTCCGCACTCGACGACTCCGGTGCGCGAGGCCTCCCCCGGACTTGGCCTGGCCGTGTCCAGGTCGCCCGCCGCCAAGATGTCCCTCGGACAGGCCCCTGCATCGCCGGCCAGGACAGAGGACCACGACGAGGGCTTTCCTCTGGACGCAAACTTCTCGGGCTACAGGTCAGTGGAGACTCGGCTGCTTTGGCCCACCAACGTCTCGGATATTCGCAACTCGAACCCGCCGCTCGCCCTCCTGCGGACGAACCAAGAACCAGAGACAGTGGCGGGGAATGTCGGCCTTCGTGCTGCTCTTCTGGTCGACGTGTTCGTACATCATGCAGCTTTTACGGAAAAAGCGCGTTAAAATATACTCTCAGAAAAAAGGGTGTATTATTACACCCTTTGTCACATATAATACACCCCAAAACTTCAGTCCAACGTACAGCGTACTGACGTTGATCTGCCGGTACTAACTTTCACGAGAGGTTTGATAGCCGTTTGGTACAACTGATTAAAATAGTCGATGCACACGTTACTGACTACAAAAAAGAATAATAATCTCGGTTTTTTTTGGCCCTACTGCAAAACTTCAGTGTTTTTTTTTTGTGGTCTGTGATAGCTAGTGTAGCTAATTAATCGAGCCCCTCTTAAAATTTGGGGCCGTCTGTTCGAATGTAGGGCGCTGCACGCCGAACTGAAGTTTTGGGGTGCACTCTAGGGGTGTAAGGTGATACCCCCCTTTTTTTTTTAGAGTGTAAGGATTCCTGTAGTCCGGTTCGGAAAAGCGTTGCACAAGGGGACCGGAATGTCTCATTTCCTTAGAAACTTCTCGTAGGAGGCATACGGATATTGGGTCCTGCGGTCGCCATCCCAATCTCTGCTCAACGTGACGGCAAATGCACCCTCCTCTAATGGTGCAAAGTTCTCGCGTAGAACCTACGCAAAGGTTTTATTTTCAGAAAGTAGGTGATAAATATCGCGCAACGGTTTGTCGAGCGATAGACGTCGGTAATTTGTCGAGCGATAGACATGCAGCGCGAACTTCTGGTCACCATGTCCAGTCTGCTGTATACCCTGCGGCTACAATATGCGAAAAGTGTCTGTTAGTAACGATGGCGCAAGTTGATCACGTGTTGCAATGTATTACAACCGCGGCGGTGTGCAGTGGCCTGCGACTGCCGGCCTCTGAAAGAGATACCGTGAACGCAGCTCTACCAGAGCTTGGTCTCCATGCGCGGTTCACAATGGTAGGAAGACAACAAAACTAGCTTTTTTGTACTGGAAGGCATATCTAGTCACTAATGAATTCAATCACTTCGCGTTTTGGAGGAGAAGGCAGGGTGAAAAAGCTTCACATCCATGGGACTGTTCTGTCTCGTGCTTCAATTATTCAAATTACACATTATATGCGGGCTTTGTGTAGCAGCTAGTTCACTAGTTTTCCTCGCTACTGCGACAAACATTCTACTTTATAAAAAAGAAAAGTTTCAAAATGAAACAAAAATTCTTACCCCACAAAGACGGGAACCTTCCGTGGGCGCCCACAGTGGTCGCGCTTAATTTTATTCAACCATATTTCGCGACGTTTTATTTTTTTTAGAATCGTAACAAAAAAACGAAAACTGTGACGGCTTTGATTGGAACATCGAACCGCACAACAACCGACTATTTTCTAACCGGAGACCTTGCAAAATAAGGGTGTGTACGCACGTTGGCCTGGGGTCGGTAGTGGTGGACAAACCCGCGCCGTCGCCCGGCGTTTTCTGTTGCTAGGCGGTTGCTGGGAATGACGTCATTTCTATGTGAGCAGTTTGGGATGAGCGAAGCTACGGCGAGAGATCACCGAGGACAAAAAATGACCGCATCTCCACGAGGTGAATGATGTTGATTGGGGCGAAGCTCTGGTATTGCTGATGATACTGATTTTATTGTTCATAGGTAGTGCTGATGGTGCTGATTTTTTTTTTTTATTGCTCATAGGTAGTGCTGAGTTCCGGGTTGCGTTTCGACTTCAATATTACTGCTTTATGGTCGGTGAAGTGCAGAGCCAGTGGTTCTTCTATCGGATCAGCTTGAATCCGCTAGAAGCCGTGGGGACGCATCTCCACCGCTTATGTCAACGGCCCATGTCAGCAAGAGAATGTGTGGTATGGAAAGCGGTTATATATACATTTGAGCATTTGATTGCAGCGCCCTCTCGTCTATAAACGTTGAGCCAATGCATGCAAAGTTTAACGCGATTATATACGCATTTGACCCCAGCGCCCTCTCCTGTATAGACGTTGAGCGGCTGCATGCAACGTTTCATCCATGACATCCCCAGCTCTTGAGTTACTACCACATCTCGGAGCCCCCTACTCGTCCCGCAGTCGTGGCCGAGTGGTTAAGGCGATGGAGTAGTAGTTAGTGGTGAGGGTAGCGGAAAGCCGGAACATGTTGGCCACTTCTTTAGTGGGGGTCTCCCCGCACAGGTTCGAATACTGTCGATTGCGCAAACATTTTAGGGGCGAAGCTCCTTAGGGTCTAGCCTTGTCCGTCCGTCCGGACTGTCCGGACGCACCCCGCGTCTGTGCCCACATAAGGAGAAAAAAAAATGTTTGCGCAGTCGACAGGATTCGAACCTGTGCGGGGAGATTCCAATGGATTTCGAGTCCATCGCCTTAACCACTCGGCCACGACTGCGGGACGAGTAGGGGCTCTGAGATGTGGTAGTAGCTCAAGAGCTGGGATATCATGGATGAAGCGTTGCATGTAGCCGCTCAACGTCTATACAGGAGAGGGCGCTGAGGTCAAATGCGTATATAATCGCGTTAAACTTTGCATGCATTGGCTCAACGTTTATAGACGAGAAGGCGCTGCGGTCAAATGCTCAACTGCGTTTATAACCACGTTCCATACCACACATTTTCTTTCTGACATGGACCGTTGACTTAAGCGCTGGCGATGCGTTCCCACGGCTTCTAGCGGATCCATGCTGATCCGCTAGAAGAACCACTGGCTCTGCACTTCACCGACCATAAAGCAGTAATAATGAAGTCGAAACGGCAACCCGGAACTCAGCACTACCTATGAGCAATAAAAAAAATCAGCACCATCAGCACTACCAATGAACAATAAAATCAGTATCATCAGCACCACCAGAGCTTCACCCCAATCAACATTCACCAAGTGGAGATGCGGTCATTTTTTTTTCTTTTTATGTGAGCACGGACGCCGGACGGACGGACAAGGCTAGACCCTAAGGCGCTTCGCCCCTAATGGATGTCCAGACTCTTCCCCTGTATATGACTCTGGGGGCATGGCGACAGCAGCGCTACTGCTGGCACGTGACGTCAGATCTTTCCTCCTCCCCCCCGGGCAGACGCCGCCAGATATTTGAGTGGAAGGGGCGAACGCAGCGTCAGCGTCTGGCTGAGACTCGTGTCGTCGCTGACGCAGCAGGCGTCGTCCATCGCCGCCTCTCAGGTGCCCGGGATCACTCCTTCTCACCTCAAGGACCGCTCGGCTCATTTCCCCCTTGATGCGTGGAATTGAAATGTACCGGAGTGCATTTAGATGAGATATATCTTATCGAGACGCCAGAAGCTTCCTCCGACAGACGGGGGAATAACGGGTGGTCGAGTGGGAGGGCGCATACTGCGCGCCACAGCTCGGAGCACGTGGAGTGAAAGCTCGCGCTGCAAGAGCCCAGTGATCCTGGGTTCAATCCCCAGCCCTGCCCGTTTTGATCAGGAGGAGCATCGTACCGGACGTGCGGTCGTGTATCACTACTGCGTGGTGCACGTTAAAGACCCCAGGCTACGTTTTTGAGGGTAAAAGCGTTAAAAGCAACGGACAAGTAAAAATAAAGAACAACACAGAGCGCTACTTGCAACTGAAGTTTATTCTCGGAAAACTCCCATACACCGTGAAATCCCGACATGTACCGCAGAAATGCTATGCCAGGCTGCACTGGCTAAATTGCTCATCGACAGACACGCCCTTTGGGGCTGACTCACTTCAGGCTGTAGAAACATACACGCGACATTATTACTGTTATTATTCCTCCAACAACCAAATCTCGTAAGAACTACTTCGCACTGCGTATGAACAATGCTGTTTTTTTCTGTGTTTTTATTTATCGGAGGGACAACGAGCATATAAAATGTCGCGCGGACACTAAAATGGCGTCACCTGTTGGGAGGCGAGAAGAGGAAGGAAAAAATGGTCTCCCCTGACGGAGGAGAGGTGTGCGTCACTTTTCCGTGGGCTTTGAGTATGCATGCCCCGTCGGCGGTTGTTGAGGACGCAACCTGAATGTGACTGTGGAGTTTCTGCGTGACCGTAGAACTCGGCGTCTTTTCGTGGAATTTGGACACTGGCCAGAGTTTGAGAAAGTTTGGGGACAGTGCGCTAACTTCTCGGTATACATAGTGGCGGGCTCCTAATGGTTTTGACAACTTAAGACTTCTCTTTCCTGGTAATAAAGATGTAAACACAAGTAACCAAAACAATTCTGAAAAAAAAAAAGATGGCAAAAATTTGGCAAATGCAGGTTTTATTATTTCCAAGTTCAGCATATGAGTTCGCACACACGAAGCAGGCCTTCCATTTGGTTACTTTTAAGCCGCAGTTCATACGCCATACAAAAGGCACGGTGCAGAAATTAATTCCCCGCTTCAAGCATGCTCCAAGCGTGTTCCTTTCATACACATTTGCGTGACCGTCATTCGAGGGACGCCTCAGACAGTCTGTCTTTTGTATGATGTATTAGCAGTGGGACTGCAGCCTTGGGAGCCAGAAACACTGCAACTTCTTTTCTTTATTTCTTGTTTTTTGCAGAGACTTCGCTTCCAACACGGACTGTGGATCGCTGAGCAAAAGCTCCTCGGATGGAGACCCAGTGGTCTGCCGACGCAAGCCGCTGGCGAGGCTCAAGTCCCGTCGCAAGAATATTCTCAGCTTCCCGCTGAACCCAGATGACTCGCGATTTCCCGTTCGAAGACGAGACTTCTACGCCGGCTCTTCTTCGGACGAAAACAGGTAATGGACCCCTCGAGTCTGCTGCGACATTCAACGACACGAGGGAAGGGGGACCGGAGAGCAAGGCAGTTAAAGTGTCGGGTTGGTGGGAGGGGGAAATGGCGCGCATAGTGCACTGTGTACTTTGATTTGTTTCAAGACACGAAACCATCTAAACTGGACGTTGGGAAATCTCGCGAATTATGACCGTTATGTTAAAGAAGCAAGATTCTTCTAAGTTACGGGACATGAGAGTCGCAAAGAAGGGAGGGGGGATCAAGTGTTGCTTCTTTCCTTGGAGTGCACAACTCCGCAGAAGGCGGCATTTCATACCTCAGTCAATAGGCGGTCACGTTCCAAGCCATGGTTGATTAAACGCCTTAGAGTGAAAGCGAAGTAATTCGTACTTTGAAGAACAAAAAGCATCCTGAAAACAAAGAGTGCGAAGACGAGGACAAAGTCAAAGGTAACCTACAGGACACAGCGCCGTTTTTTTTTTTTTCTTTTATTATGTCTGCATACCAGCTAGCTCAAACTTTGCCTTAAAAACCTCGACGATTCTACTGTACTACAACGCCGAAAGTCTAGCGTTAATTACGCGTGTAATGGTGCATTAGAGGTACACAGACGTGTCTTTGTTCGTAGGTCATCGGGGCACGCGAGCATGAGCGATGGCCAGTCGTCGTCGTACGCGTCGTCGGTGTCTCCGCCTACGTACATCGACCTGGTGCGGGGACACCACGACCCCACAGTTCCTTCGTCCAAGTCCTTACACAACGTCCCTGGCCATCTCAAGGTCGTCCCCGAAGACGACCGCGTCCTCCAGCAGCTGTGTTCATCGTCGTCGTCCCGCCTGTCCCGCCGGCCGCAAGCGCCATCTTCCTCCAGTCGCCGTGGGTACCGGGGGAACGTGTACGAACTCCACGAATCTTCGCCGTCTGCCAACCTCGATGACATCCGGCAGGCCGTTGAACAGTTGGCTGCACGAACGCAGCAGGGCAGCGGCGGCGGTGGCTACTCGACGTCGACGTACTCCTCCGACGCAGAGCCCACGGTGCGGCGGCTGATGCGGCACTCCAGCCTGGAGACCATCAATACCAACATCACGAGTGCCGAAGAGTTCGTCTGGGTGGACAACCACGCGAGGCTGGTGGAGATGCAGCAAGTACCGTGGAACAATCACGACGTGCTCAGGGTGCTGCAGAACGGGAGGCTCAAGGACCACCTCCGGAGGATCTCCATGGAAGTGGTGCCGAGGCTGGCGTTCCTGCTCCAGCGGCCCCTTGTCAGGGTTGCTAGAGAAGCCCAGAGGTGAGATTGGTCGTCGGTTCGTTGCCTCCTTTCCCAGTGGCGGTAGCCCTCAAACATGAAATGGAGTTGCAAACTCCCTCCTGAAGAGACCTTTCTTGCTCATGACGCGCGTTGAGCCAATATCACTTGAAAGACAAGACCTGTGTATTGTTTGTGGATATCTAACCGGTCCCAAGCGGCAAATGAGTGGCAGACGCGTCGGTCTTGGCGTCGTCAAGCTCGTTCTGAGACGCTTCGAGACGCGCAGGCTGATGCATGCTATATATATGTGGCGCTGCATGGCGACTATACTCGGCGACAACTTTTCTTGGCAATGCAGTGGAAGGTACAGGCCCGCGTCCCCTCTCCCATTTTGAGTGTACGCAGGCTCTCCTCCTCCCCCATTTCCGGGGAGAGGAGCAGAGCCCTCGGGGGGAGGAGGAGAGCCTGCGTACACTCAAAATGGGAGAGGGGACGCGGGACGTACCTTCGACTGCATTGCCAAGAAAAGTTGTAGCGGAGTATAGTGATGAGGGCGCGGGCCACATCCTCTAAGTGGTCGAGCGACGGTGGGACTCCGATAGGATTTCCAACCTCGGGACGGAGCTCGGATCACTGGACGGACGGCAGAGCGCGGGGACATGGAGGCCCTTTTCCCTCCGGCAGGTTCTCCCGCGCCCTGGGCGTGTGCGGCACGCGGCAGGTGAGCGGTGCCTTGAGCGTGGTGCTGGCGCCCAGCCTGGCCGAGAGCTGCGTGAGCGCCTGCCACCGGGCGGCGGCCATCTACAACTCGTCGTGCGACCAGCTGCGGCTGAACAAGAGCGCCCGAGCGGGCCTCCAGCTCCCCGTGGGCCGGTTCCAGCGCTGGGCATGCGACGTGCGGCTCGCGCCGTACGTGCACGAGTACGCGGCCCTGTACTTGACGGCGGCCACGGAGAACCTGCTCGAGGAGCTGGTGCTCCACTGCCTGCCCCCGGAGACCATGCTCACGTCGGCGGCGCTCGAGGCGGCCATCTCGCTCAGCGGGGACCTCTGGGGGCTGTTCCAGCCGTTCGCCCACCTGAACGCCGGCAGGACGGCCACCGGTGAGTGCGGACTCGCCGAGCGCGCTCATCTGATCGAGGCTCGTCTTCATCCTGACGGGTCCCGATCAGACGCTTGACCCACGCCCGCGAAGAACACTCAGTGGGGGCTGCCTTAAAGAAAAGAAATATAGGTTGGTCAGACTATTATTTAGATAATACGTCTGCTTTAGCTCGAACAGATCTAGGCACTTTTTATTCTTGAAGTGAATAAGGGCCAAGGGTCGTACCCTTCGTTCTAAACAAACCGAATTTTTAACACGCGAGCTACCTTTCGCATGTTCATAAAATGGTTGTTAACCTGTTTCGGGGTCCCCGTCAGGTTGATGACACATCACATTACGGATCGCGGCAGAAAACGGAATCAGCGGTTTCCTCGGAGTCCGCGACAGAACGGAGCGGCTGCCGCCTGTGGCGTGCTTGATGCGGCGACGGGGGAGAGAGAAGAAACTGTCCGATGGGGCCAACGGACCCCTCAGAAGCCGGGACGCATCCTCCGCATGCCTGACTCGGCGCGCTTCACAAATCACTGTAATTTGTTTCCGAGCGTGATGCATCACCGAGGGGTCGGACCGCCGCTCTTGTCCCAGCTGTCTTCCCGGAGGGGACATCGTGGCCGAGATGGACAGCGCATTCCTGGGCCGGTGGCCTCCGTGCCCGGCTTCCTGACGTGACGTTCGGCGACCTTCTCCCCTTCTTCGCGCACCTTTCTTCGTCCCCTCCTGGTTTGCCGGAGCCCTGAAGAAACCTGCGCTGCAGTCGCGCAGTCCTTATTGCGCCATTTAGACCCTTTTCGAGCATTGGTAGTGGCCATTCCTCGGTCGCGTGTAGTTGGATTCGTCGCCGAACGCCCGCGCAGTACTCGATAGGAAGTGAGGCCGCACTCGGACGCAGCCCTCCTGTTTAAAGGAGCTGTGCAACGATATTCAATTGGAATGTTTTTCTCTCTACACGAGCTTACTGGCACACCTGGGACTCAAGGATACTCACACGCAACGCCATTGGCCAAGAAACTACTTTGTTGCGGTGTAATTTCAAGGACAAAAGCGATCATTTTCATTCAATCTCTCCTTTGCAAAATTTGATGACGTAACTCGGGGATCGCAGTACACCCAAGTGACGATATTTGAATGCGGTTCAAAGATTGGACCCGAGCATTGCGTGGGCACTCGACTTGGGCTCGTGACAATTGCTAGCTCGAGAAGCATTCGGGTTGTGACCCGTGTCCAATCGCTGCAACGACGACAATAGCCGAGCCATAACAATGTCTGGAACTCAGCGCGTGTCCTGCGCTTTGCCAACCCCAGCGCGTGGCTATGATCAACACTGGCGGCATATAATCGGCTCCAGATCACGTGGCCACTTGTTCTGGCTGCGAGTTGAGGGAGTGAACGCTGCTCGTTTTTGTTAAATTTTTTTCTGGGACTTCTATTGCGTGGGGTGAAAAACGAACGCGTGTTTCATAGGTCATTAACGTTACGGATCCGTTTTAAGCGGTATTTGTGCACAGTACAAAAATTGTTGCATCGCTCCTTTAAGGACGATTCACACACTTGCATTGAGTAAGACCGATTGCGTCGGTTGCTATGGCAACAGCTGCGTCAGCAACAGCTGCGCTGGAGCCGTCGCAGCCGTTGCCATAGCAACCCACGCACTCAGTCGAACTCAAAGCAAGTGAGTGAGTCACCCTTTAGAGTGCGGCCAATCCGGATCATGGCGCTGCAGCTGCTATACTCTGTTTCGCCTTATGATGTACCGCAGGAAAGGCTACAAGCGCGAGCTCCTCGCTCAAGGGCGCATCTCGGCGGCACAAGCTCTCGCGCAATAAGGGCAGCCGCCAATGCCATGAGCTCGCGCTTCTAGCCTTCGCTGCGGTACAACATAAGGTGAAACGGAGTATAGATGGCGCTCACTTTTAAAGAGGTTCTATTACCGAAGCGGGGACACTCCACTCCACTCCAAGGGTTGTGTGTGTGTTTATACAGCCTAGAACTTGGTCTGCCTCACAGGGGCGACGAGTCTCCCAGCTGTGGATGAGAAATTTAGCCAGTGCGGTACAGCCGCTAGCCTGGGGTCTTTAACGTGCATCACGCAGTAGTGATACACGACCGCACGCCGGTACGATGCTCATCCAGATCGAAACGGGCAGGGGTGGGGCTCGCTCCACTCCAAGGCATTCTCCACACAGCGCGTTTTGTGACTTCGTTGAGAACTGCGAAAGTCACCAACCTATGGACTTGTTTTAAAACTCGAAGCGCCTCATCGCGGCGAAATTCCACGTTATGCATTGGAGGAATCAGTGGGAATCAAAATTAATATGAACTGCCACAGGTTCCCAGAATGCAACGCGCGCGGTGACGTATCTATGGAAGTAGCCAATAAACCTTTCCGGAGATATCTGGTGCCCCCAGCGTCTGCTTTACGCGTTGTGACGTTCCGATGTACGGCGCGGTCCAATTTCGGAACGGCGAGAAGGGGGAGGGAGAGCATGTGATGAATTGGGGTGTGTGTAAGTTCATACAACCTGAACTTAATCTGCCTCAACGTGCGACTTGCCTCTCAGCTGTAGATGAGAAATTTAGCCAGTCTAGTCTAACCGCTAGCCTGCACTTTCAGAAGAAGAAAAAAGGTCTATACAGTCTCCCCTAAAGGGGAGAACGCTCTTGACACTTGTGTCTCTTCATCTCAAGCGTCGTTCTCAAGCATCGTTCTTGGCGCGAATATTACCACAATTGTTTAATTGATTGGTGTGGCAGCCAAACTTCTGTTCGGGCTGGAACTTGGTCAACAGTGTCTGAGACGTGCCTGACGCTCATTGCAATCGTCAAATAACATTTCGAAATTTGCCAAAAAAAGAAATGAAAGACGTTTACAGTTCTTTGTAATGTGAAATCAGAGCGCAGCTCTTGAGGAGGAGGAGGGGAGGCTACGGAGGGGAGGATACGCCCCTCCTCCCCCTTCGTACCCTCCCCTCCTCCAATCCTCCTCCCCTCCCATTTAGCGAAAAATATTCACTGAATTTCCCGCTAAATTTCGCGATAAAAAAAACACTGTATTTTTTGTTGTTTTGTGACACCTTGTACATTGCTTTGCACTTTACTGCACCGGTGCAGGAGTTGCAGGGAAATCGAATGCAGCGAACATTGCTTGAGTCGTGCCGCGGTTGCAGACGATAAGACGGCACATGAGGGGAACGGATTCCGGGGATATTGAGGACGAGATGTTTCGGTGGCGTGCACTGAGGCCGCTTTCACTCTGCTAATTAGAGCCGGCCATTTGATCGATTAACCTACCGATTCATAGATTAACGCTTTAATCGCGATTAATATTTTTAATCGGTTAATCGGTTAAATTTTGGCAAAGAATAAAAGTAAAATTCAACGCTTTCGCCACGCAGACGTGCACGAGTACACAGCTGGATGAAGGAGAATTTTAGGTGAAATGTTGACCTAAAGCAAACTGCAGGGGCGAGGTTTGTAGCTCCATACAAACGGAGAAGGTTAGACGTGTCCCATCCACTTCCAACGCCGGCTAGTGTCCGTTTTGCGCATCAGGGACTACTCTGAGCAATCAAAGGAGTTGGCTATTGCCGGAGAATATCGACGAAACTGCCTCTACGGCTGAAGTAACTAGCTGTGAATGTGCGCGTCTTTTGACTGTTCCCAACTACACAGAAAGGTTGATTTAAAAACGCGGAATTGTATATTCTGCCGTTTGTATCAGCGAAGGCAAAATATGTGATTTTGACTTTGTTAAGCTAATATGCATGGTAATAAACAAAACCCATCAATCGATTCATTAATGAATTCTATAGTGGCGATTATAAGGGCCCCCTTTAACCCCCCTCCCCCTTAAAAATTTAGACACCCCCCCTAATTTTAATTCCTGGGGAATCTCTTGCGCCGTCTGCTTTGTACTCTCTGGTTGGTACCGCGTCTATTTCCTTGTCTGCAACCTTCTTCCGTGCTGTTTTGAGGTGTAAGTCATCTTCATGGTACGCTTAGCTCCCAACAAGCGAGTGGAGGTTGTTCTCTGTTTCGGGAAGCGTCAGAGGACGAAAGAGGCTCACCGACGTTTTCGGGCGGAGTTTCGGCGGCGACCTCCAGCGTTTGGCTACTTCGGGTTCCTTGGGAAATTTTGTTTCACCGTTGGCAAACGACGACAATGAGGTGCAAGCCTGTGCAAGCATAATTCTGAAACCTCCAGACTATAGTTTTCAGAACCATGCTTGAAAGGCTTGCAGATCATCGACGTCGTTCGTCAACAGCTAAACAAAACTGCCTAAGGAACCGGAAATTGCCAAATGCCGCTCACCTATTCTACGCTGGGTGAGGCGCTCCTCAACAAGAAAGAAGCCCCCCCCCCCCCCCCCAAAAAAAAAAAAAAAAAAAAAAAATTTTAGCCTTTTTACTTTGGTGAATGAAGACCAGCGAACCTGTACCATGATGGGACGACCTCAAGCACGACTTCTTGGGCGACCTCAAGGACGACGCCTAGAGAACGACGTCTAGGACAACCTCAAGGACGACGTCTAGGACGACCTAAAGGACGACTTCTAAGACGACCTCGGGGACAATGTTTACGACGACCTCAAGGACGACTCCGAGGACAGCCTTTAGGACGGCCTCAAGGATGACTTATTGGACGGCCTCAAGGACGACTTCTAGGACAGCCTCAAGGACAACTTCTAAGACAACCTCGAGGACAACGTCTACGACGACCTCAAGGACGATCTCTAGGACGACCTCAAGGACAATCTCTAGGACGACCTCAAGGACAATCTCTCGGACAACCTCAAGGACGATGTCTAGGACGACCTCAAGGACGATTTCTAGGACGACGCCTGGAGAAATTGAGCCTTTCCACTGTGGTGAAAACCAGAGTGGAAAGGCTGGAAAAGTTACCGCCATCTATGAGCGAGGCCGGGAAGCCGGTTGTCTGGTTGCCGCCGTCGCTCATAGATGGCGGTAGCTGTCCAGAGTTTTGTGTCGACTTTTCTTTGC